TATGGTAAACAAGACACTACGGAGCGTACACTTCGGCCTCGTGGTTGTGGAACTAATTAATTGTAAATGCGGAGGAATAGTAAGAAATCAAATATGGTAAGAGTAAGGTGTTTTAACACACAAATTAAATTAATTTACACAAATTAAAATTTGTAAAATTATGGGATTTGTCAGGATATTCTGAAAAGAGCAACTTCCAAGAGGCCTACTTACCAAAAACTAGCATTTCGGGACAAATTGTCTCCGAGATATTAGCCCAGTTATGCTCTTATGACTCCATACAAATCCTTCTAAAAAAACAATTCTCTATTTTCTTAGTCACATCAGGCTTCAAAAACAGCATAGCAGTCTCATTACTGATTAAAGATATGTAAGGCATGGGTAAGGAGTCAATTACGTTGAGCATGGAATTAGCTAAAACTCAAAGTCACGAGTTCGAATGTTTTGAGGATAATTATTCACTGACTATCAGCACGCAGGGATGTCGGATTAACACAAGGAAGTTTAACACCAAAGGAACATAGCCTTTACAGAGCTTTAAAACACGGCATCCGCCAACACAAACTTGACTTGAACTTTGAGTAAAACTAAACAGCCTCTACCAATAGTAACAAACTCTCACTTGAACTTCAGATATCTTGCGGCTTCCGCGAACTTGAAAACACAGAACCTGAAAATCGACCTTCGTCACACCTGACTAAATACAGCAGTCCAGCTCGTGGAAAAAAACTTAGTTCGTCAAAAGAACTCGCTTGGAACTTGTATACCGTTTGACATAAGGTTCTAGAAAATACCAAACAGGCGAATAGTAGTAGCTTTTCGACATATTTATTATTTCAGTAACTGATGCAAATCTGCTGAGTCGTGCTGAAATGTAAACATGCCCTAATTAATTATTCATGAATAATCCAAAAACGTAGAGAACGTTCGAGAAAGTCACGTAACGCATGAAAGCAATTTTACTACGTAACACTCAACAAAGACAAAATGTCTTTGTGCAGCATTTTGTAACTTTAAATTCATCATAAAACAGTTTGAAAGGAGGGCTCACTCGTGAAATGTTTTTCAACACTCGAAGAGAAATTTCGTGTCTCTGCGCGGCCACGAAATATCCTCTATTTATTCCTCGAGTAATTAAAGACTAAACTCGAAGTGATCTCGAGATATCACGAAGAAGTACGGTCTCATTTCGGGAAATAGTTGAAACAAACCAAAAAGTCACGAACTTGCACGCCCAATCTTGTCCCGAAACTAGTGCATCATTTCATAACTATTTTTCATATCCCGATCTACCTTGGGTCGCAGTAGCGCAATCGGCTAATCCCTCAACTTAGAGTCTCCTCTGATCTGACGGGTCACACAGGCGAGTCGGTTCAAACCCCGGGGAAGCCAAAATAATAATTCTTTCTTCCTCGAAAAAGTTAAAGAATACATCAAAGAAATCGAAGTGATCTCGAGATATCTCGAACTAATTCGGCTCGCACTTCGTCAAATAGCCGAATAGAACCGAAAATCTACAGACTTTGCTTGCCCAGTCTTGTCAAAAAATTGTAACTTTGATACATTCCTGAGCGTCGCGAATCCTTTACTTCGCGCTCCGCCGAGGTAACAAGATGTTATAGTACATTCTGATCACCAGCCGTTAGAAATGATTTTCAAAGAACCCCTGAGCAGAGACCCAAGACGCCTTCAACGGATGATGCTTCAGCTACAGCCGTTCAAGTTCACAGTAGTTCACAAGAAAGGCAAGTACATGTACTTAGCCGATACACTGTCGAGAGCTGCCTTGAACCTCCCTACACCCTCAGACCCACAAGAAGAGGTGTTCCAGTGCAACTCAGAGGATGCACTAGAGATGTTCCGGGTAGAACTAGAGACCATGGAACTAGACTCCCCTGACATGTATCCTAGCACCCTGGAGGAAATTAAAGCTGAAACCGAGGCGGATCCTACCCTGTCAGTCCTATGTATGTTCGTGGTCCATGGTTGGCCCTCCGACAAATCACAGGTGCCCAGAGCACTCCGTCTTTACTATCCGTTAAGGGATGAGTTAGCGGTATACAATGGTGTATTGTACAAGTCACACAAAGTCCTCATTCCCGGGAGGCTACAGTTTACCGTGACCACGGTCACCAGGGAGGTGAAAGCATGATTCGCCGGGCTCGAGAAGTAATGTACGGGCCTGGAATGCAAGCTGCAATCCTTCAAGAGAGTGCCAAATGTTCATTGTGTGCTAGCTATGGTTCGGCCCTCCCAAAGTAACCGATGTTGTCTCATGAAATTTCACAAGGTCCATGGAAATTTATCTCGCAGGACCTATTCAGGCATGGTGGGCGTTGGTATTCTGTTACAGTAGACCACTACAGTGACTGGTTTGAGGTCGATCTGATGAATGAAGACACCACTGCTGCCAATGTTATCTCAGTCACAAAGGCGCAGTTTGCCCGTTATGGTATACCAGATATATTTTTGTCCGACAATGGACCTCAGTATACCTCTCAGGAATTTTCGAATTTTGCCAAGACTTATGGTTTCAAGTTGATTATCCGGTCACCGTATTATGCTAGAGCTACCGGTAAAGCTGAAGCTGCCGTTAAGGAGGACAAGAACATGTTAAAAAAAATCAGACCTCCGCACTGGTCTCTTGGACCATAGGAACACTCCGCCTCAGGTATGACTTACTCCCCGGTACAAAGGTTTCTCTGCCGACGAACAAAGTCTAAATTGCCAACATCTAAATCATTGTTGAGTCAATCTGTGCCACCTGTAAACGTAGTCCATGACGAGCTTCTGGGTAGGCGAGCTAAAGCCAAAACTCACCCTGACAAAACTGCTAGAAGAGACTTACCCCCTCTTACGCCTGGACAGTATGTGTACACCAGGCCGAATGACCATCACCATGGTGAACAGTGGGGTCACGGCGAAGTAACACCACGTTCGTACGTGATAAAAACGCAAGACGGAACAGGATCCACTTAAGACCTAATGAGCGTCAGGTCCCATGTGACCCACAACCCTTGCCAGAACAACCAGTAATAGATAGTGGTGTGGATGTCGGAAATTCTGCGGAAACCATAGTGCCTAACCCCACTTCAGAGTCCACAAATGAGAATTCACTTCCACCAGTGCAGACCTCGCGTTGTGGCCGGCCAATTAGACCACCAAAGAGACTGGACCTTTGAAACTGAAGACTAGAGTGCAGTATGGAAAAATCGGTCACACTTAAAACATCAAGTTTCCTTTGGTAGACTGTCAACAAGTAGAGTCCACCTAGGTAAAAAGTCTGTAGTGTGACCACAGCTAATGTCATGTGCAACTGACTTTTAATTGTTACTTATTATTATAAATCTATGGAATTTGTCTTTTGAAATTGATTGCCCAAACTTAAAATAAGGTTTGAGGGAATCATATTGTGCTTTCACGATGGCCTTGTTTTGGTAATAGTCCATGAGGTAATTGTAGAGGAAGTGCAAACCAAAGTTCTGGGCACAGGTACTTCTTAATCTGCGTTGATTTTTTCTTGAGTTTTCAGACTCCTGTGCGCTGGTAGTGATGCAATTTGCTTGCTGACAGAGGTTGACATCATGGAAGAGGCACAGAGGAGAGTTGTGGGTTTTTTTTTTATGCATGAAAGCGATCTTGAAGGACAAACCTCCTGGTAGTTCCTGTGTAGGGATGTGTGTGTGGTGATTCAGTGCTGCTATAGTTTCTCCTGCAGTTCTGTCTTCTGCTGGAACAATTTCTGGAAAATTGTGGTCCTTTTTACATAAAGAATACACAACGTGATGGATACAAAGTCACATCAAAAAGAAAAACTCAACAATGGATTAATAATTATTCTCCCTAAAATCCATGTAAATCATGTTTTTACAGTGTATTTTAAGGGCCGACCATTTAACTCTTGAGAGGGTTTGGGTAATTTCGGGAATAATAATCTTCTGACTGGTTTCGTGAGTTTTCTTTTGAAATTCGACTTGAAGCGTTTAATTTTTCCTTATCTCTTCAATTTTATTTAATTTTTTCTTTCTCAAAAAATAATATTTTTCACCAAAAAAAAATTCTACTTAAATGCTTGAATAATGTGTTTATGTTTTGTCTGACGAAGGGCATTATTTTCAAAAGCCTTTAATCTCTTCGCTTCGTATCTCTCTATCTTTTGCGCTGTCATTTCTGCAGCAATGAAATGCACGTTGCCATGCGAAGTCAAGAGTTTTGGGCTGTTACCTGTCAGTTTGCTATCCCCCTAGAACTAACCTGATTGCCCTGTCAATTCCCAACTCATGGGATCTGTCGTCTGTATGCGCTCGTTGAGCTCATACCAATGAAAATCTTTTTTTTCCCTCTGCGAAAGTGCCGAGAGAGAGGAACCGGTAAGAAAAACTTTTACATTTCAGATGACTTTAAAAGCTTACTTAAGCTTAACTCAAGTATAAAGCTAAGTCTTATATACCTCCATAAATTTATTTGAACCTAAAAATACACGCTTTTCAATCTGTTATAATATTGAAATTTTCACGCCCTGTGTTGAATTTGCACGTGCTGCTAGACTCATTATATATTCGGTTTTGTTTGTACCTTCGGGGCACTTGATAGAGATTAAAATGTCTGTTCAGTAACCGCTTGAACGTGTGGTTCGCTGTTTTATCACATGGTAGCAGCGGTGGCCGCTTCTGCTTCGTTTTTAACCGTCTACGTTATACAGCATGCCCGGTGGTGATACCTCCAACAGACAGTCTGGTGCGGTAGCGCCGCCATCATCGACTTTTCATCACATCACTCCGCCGAAGTACCTTGACTTGAAACATAGTGAAGAAATTGCCGAAAACTGGAAGCTTTGGAAGGAGAAATATAACAATTCTTTTGTCATTTCTCGTTTGGATCGGGAAACCCCGGAGTTTCAGTTGGCGATGTTGAAACATACGATCGGAGATGATGCGTTGAAAGTCATCTTAACATTCAACTAAGCCAAGGGGGAGAACTCGAGTGATTGGCGCGTTGTAATGGGAAAAATGGAGAAACATTGCATCGGTGAAGTCAACGAAATTTACGAACGACACTGTTTTAATATGCGTAACAAGCTTCCAACGGAGTCGGTTGATAGTTTTGTTGCCGAGTTAAGGAATCTGGTCAAAACATGTCATTTTTGCGATAGTTTAATCTGTGATCGCATTGTGCTTGGAATTAAAAACGAGCAGACGACCAAGAAGTTGCTGAGAATGAGAGATCTTACTCTGAATCGTTGCATCGACGTGTGTCGCAGCGAGGAAGTTGCTGAGTTGCAAATGAAGTCGTTATCTGGGCCGGTGGATAACATTAATCAAGTAAAGTCAAGTTCTAAAAAACCTCGAGCTCCAACACCGGTGGGCGAGCGGTCGGCAAAGAAAATTTCCTGCAAATTTTGTGGCTATGACCATCAACCTGATAGGAAGATGTGCTCCGCATGGGGAAAGAAGTGCAAGCTATGTAAGGAAAAGAATCGTTTTGCCAAGAAGAAGTGTAAGAAAGTTCCTGTCCATAATATTGAGAGCGAAGAGAGTAAGAGGAGATCAGCGTTGTAAGAGTACAGGCTTTGAGAGAGAGAGAGCTGTGTATGCGAGAATGCTGGTTAGGCAGCAACCGGTACAATATCAAGTGGATTGTGGTGAAAGTGCAAATATTTTACCTCTGAAGTATGCTGAGGGCGAGGAACTCGACTCGTGTTCGCAAACGCTTGTCATATGGAATGGAACTAAAGTGACGCCTGTCGGTTCCTGTGCGTTGCCTGTTGTGAATCCGAAAACTAATGAGAAGTACAAAGTCCGGTTTCTAGTCGTGAAAGAGGATTTGACCCCTCTGCTTGGCTTAAATGCAACGCAGAAAATGAAGCTGTTAACTGTACACAAGGAAAACTTCATTAATGTCGTGGAGAATGCAAAGGATGATCTCACAGCTAATTAAGCGGATGTCTTTAACAAAGGTCTCGGAACACTTCCTGGAAGAGTTCGCCTGCAAGTTGACCCAGATTGCAAGCCTGTTATCCTTCCAGCAAGAAAAGTCCCTGTATCTGTTCGGGAGAAGTTCAAAGAAGAGCTCCAAAGCTTGGAACGTCTTAAAGTAATCACTCCTGTTGACGAACCGACCGAGTGGGTTAGCCATATGGGCGATATCGTTGGCTCTGTTTGCCGTTTGGTCTCAGTGTTTCGAGTGAAATTTTTCAGAAACGTCTCCATCAAGAGTTACAAGGTCTCCCGGGTGTAAAGTGTATTGCAGATGATATTCTCATCCATGGCACGTGCGAGGCTGATCATGACAGCAATCTAGATGGATTCACGCGCAGATGTCCGCAGAAAGGTATCAAGCTCAATGCCGAGAAGTTAGAGTACAAGTGTAAAGAGGTTCCATTTCATGGGCACCTGCTAACCACAGAGGGTCTAAAGCCAGATTCAGAGAAAGTGATAGCAATCGTCGAGATGCCACGCCCTAAAAACCGAGGTGAAATTTTACGCCTGAATGGAATGGTCAATTATCTTAGCCGTTTTCTACCCCACTTATCTGATGTGATGAAGCCTCTACGAGATCTTACCCATAAAGATGCAGCATGGTGTTGGGATGATTTGCAAGAGAAGGCTTGGAATGATGACAAGACATTGATTGCATCAGCACCCGTTCTAGCCTACTACAAGCCCACTGAAGTGCTTGAGATCCAGTGTGATAGCAGCCAGAGTGATTTAGGTGCAGCTTTAATGCAGAATGGTCATCCAATCGCGTACGCTAGTAGAGCCTTAACAGAGACGGAATCTCGCTATACGCAGATTGAAAAGGAAATGTTGGCAATGGTGTTTTCAGTAGAGAAGTTTAATGACTTTACCTTCGGTAGAAGAACTGTTGTCCATACTGATCATAAGCCACTTGAGTCAATTTTCATGAAAGCACTTCATCGCACTCCTAAGAGGTTGCAAGGAATGTCGATCCGTTTGCAAAAGTACGATTTGGTGGTACAGTACGAGAGGGGGAAGCAGAATGTTCTTAGCGGACACTCTCTCTAGAGCTTATCTTCCCTCTGGTGCGCAGATTGAGTCAGAGTTTGAGACAATCAACATGAATAATTACTTGCAAATATCTGAAGCCAGGCTACTGCAAATTCAGCGGGAGACAGAGCAGGATGAATCGCTTCAAGTTCTAAAGGCAGTGATTCAGCATGGCAGGCCTGAAAATAAGAGTACCCTGCCCGTTCTAGCCTCTCCTTACTTCGATATGAGAGATGAGCTGTCCGTTCAGGATGGTCTGATTTTTAAGGGAGAAAGGGTAGTGGTACCCAAGGCTGCTAGGAGTGGTCTCCTAAAAATTAAAGTATTCACAATTTGCACCTTGGGGTTAATGGTTGCCTTAACAGAGCGCGTGAGTGTCTTTATTGGCCTGGGATGACAGGAGATATCAAGAACTATGTGTCAACATGTGAAGCCTGCAGAGAGTACGAACAGGGTCAAAGGAAGGAAACACTCACCAGCCACGAAGCACCTAGTCGGCCGTGGCAGTTCGTTGTAGCAGACGTATTTGAGTTAAATGGAAAACCTTGTGACTGTGGACTATTTAAGCGATTTCTTCGAGCTCGACCATCTGAGAAGTACATCCTCTGTCTACGTCATCAAGAAGCTTAAAGGTCATTTCGCTAGACATGGCATTCCCGAGCAACTCGTTACTGATAACGGGCCACAGTTCGCCTCGCGCGATTTCCTGAAATTCTCTAAAGAGTAGGATTTTGAGCACAGAACCAGCAGCCCGCATCATAGTCAGTTGAATGGAAAGGCTGAGAGCGCCGTTAAGCAAGCGAAGAAAATTCTGTTAAAGTGCAGCAAGACTGGTTCAGACGCGTTTCTTGCTTAACTGGACCACAGAAACACACCGCCTGCGAGTATGCAAATCAGCCCAGCACAGCGTCTATTTAGCAGAAGGACAAGAAGTCTCCTCCCAGTGACTGCTGCCATCTGTTTCAGACGAGGACGTGACACATACCAAGCTTCATCGCCGCCAACAGCAACAAGCCAAGTGCTACAACAGAGGCGCACGAGACCTCCAGCCCTTAGACCCCGGAGATACTGTGCGAGTTGAGCCCTGGCGCGCGGGAAGAAAAGAGTGGCAAAAGGGTGTCGTAAAGAGTCGCATTGACAAAAGATCTTACGTGGTTGAGCTGCCTCAAGGACTCCTTCGACGAAATCGTGTTGAACTACGCAAGTCCAATGAAGCGCCTATCAAAGTTGAGGATGATGACGTCATAGAGGCCCGCGAGCAGTCATCCACAGAGACACGCGAAGGTACACACGAACCGGCACCTCCAGATACACGCGTGGAAACAGTCGACCCGCCGCGCGATCCGTTGTCTTCGGTGCCGGACGCACCTAAGTCGCCCAATCCTTTACAGGTACCGAGAAGGTCCACGCGTGTCCGTCAGCTGCCCAAGCGTCTACAGGACTATGTGCTTACTTAACCCTAAGAACTGAATTTCATTAATATGTGCTTAGTCGTTTGTTTTGGTTTCGCGTTTTTTTTTTTCCGTTAAGTTGTTTTCTCATTTCTCTATAAAAGGGAGGGTGTTATAATATTGTAATTTTCACGCCCTGTGTTGAATTTCATTTGCACGTGCTGCTAGACTCATTATATATTCAGTTTCGTTTGTACCTTCGGAGCACTTGATAGAGATTAAAACGTCTGTTCAGTAACCGCTTGAACGTGTGGTTTGCTGTGTTATCACACAACCTCAAGCAGAAGGATATGGAAATCCTCCAAGTGAACATTTTCTGTCAAAGCCCTAATAATCAATTATCTGAATAGTCTTTAATTGTGTTTTTTAGGTTTATGGTATGTTCAATAATTATAATTACAATTTATTACAACTTTTTCACAGTGCCTGTTCTGTTGACTCATAATAAAATGGCACAGTACCTCTATCATTTTGCAGAGACAACAGCTACTGAGAAAAGAAGAAGAATTGGTGAGCACATTGTGAATTGTTCTTATTTCTCGAAGATGTATTTTTGTTTAATCTAACAGGAACCACGTTCTGCTGTTTTGAAAACATGACATCAATCAAAAACAAGTCTGGACAAGAAATTCCATTCATTCTCCACACAGTAAACATTTCAGTTATGTTTTACACAAGTAATTAACAGCAAATGTCAAAACAACCACTAAACTGCCTATGTGTTTATTACATGGATACAAAACAGATGTCAAAAGAGTGACTGTATGAGTGAACATTAGATGGAGCTTTCTGCAAATGCAGCGGGTGATTAGACGACATCTTTCACAGACAATATCATGATGTTAAAGTAACTTTCTCAAACTCGATTATTAACAATTTATAAAGTGAAAACAAAGAAAATGACAACCGTGACGGTGTTTTGGATATCGGATATCAGATCTTTCAATTTTTCCAAGAATTACTACAGTGAAACCTGTATTAAGCGGACACCGTATTAAGCGGACACCCTCTATTAAGCGGACAGTAGCCGAAGTCCCCAAATTTATTTCCCTTATTTACTTTAAATGAAACCTTTATTAAGCGGACACCTCTATTAAGCGGACGCGGACACCTAAAAAGTACCTAAAAAGGGCCATTTCTATTGTTGCCAACCTGTATTAAACGGACACTTGTAATTAAATTCCACCACCCAACATGCCAGACACCGGAAATGCGAAAGATTGCCTCGAATTGCCACCCACAAATTTTTCGATTTTTACGTTAAAAAGCGTGACTTGACGACCTTATTTGATTAGTTTCACAGTACCGGATTGTTTTCTATTTCGTTTTGTTTGTATAGAGCTTGTTTCACTCATCTGATTTCTTCAAATTTGAGTTGCAATCCATGTTTATGGTACTATGATCAATTGGTTCACTTTGATAAAGAAATTAATGCAAACGTCAATCGTCATGGTCTCTGGGAGTATTATAAACGCTTCCACTGTTCATTTGAATGGCATTTGACACCCCATATGACGTTATATATCGAAACCTGTATTAGGC